TGTGTGTGTGTGTGTGTATGTATGTATGTAGATACCTTGCTATTATACGCAGATTGCTTGATGACTTCCGGTGCCATCCAGAATGGAGTACCCACGAATGTATTACGCTTGGCGATGGTGCCTGACAATTGACCCGCCACTCCAAAATCAGCCAATTTGACATCACCACTTAGAGACAACAACACGTTGGCAGCTGCAGATTGTGGATTTGAAATTTTTGAGAATTTGAATAGGAATATTGAAATACAACTGATACTTGAAATTAGAAGTAGACAGATGAGCCAAATGCATCACCAACGAATGCGATCCGTACTCCTATATATATTCATATGAATATTCATTATATCTATATCGTAATCCATATCTAATCTATATTCATATCTGTATTCATGATATTCATATCTATATTCATTTTACAATTAACATACAGTCATACAGCTAACATACAATCAACAAGCAGTCTCGTGCAGTCTTACCTTTAACATCTCGATGGAGCAGGCGCATGCCGTGCAGGTAGTCCAGCCCATGCACTGTATCCCTCAGAATGATCGCGCACGAGGTTTCGTCCATTGGCACGACTTTCAGCTAATGTTATTGGTCAATAGAACGATGGAAAAATAATGGAGGAATTTTCATTGGCTTAGAGCTTTGTTGGGTATAGTATGGTGGAGTAATCACCTAGATGAGGTCTATCGGGGAGTGCCGATGAATAAAATCCAATGGAATTATCGGTGTACAAACAAGGGCGATCGAATCAAAACCACTCGATTGGTAAGGAAGAATGGTGTGCTTTAATAGTAGCCGAGACCACTGCCGTCATTAGGTCACGTGAATTGGAGGACGAAGACAATAGCCGCACAGAGAGTGTATTTGAAGATGGTCCTCTTGGAAGTATGAATACTCAGATCTTCTGCACGTAAACTGATGGTAATGGCTGCATAGAGGCAATACTGCCGTCGATGGAGCTGTGTCCAGAATAGTCTTTACAAACCAGTCACCAAGCGAAAACTATCCAAAGATGCAGTTCCTCCAAGACTCGCACGCATTATGCAATAATAGAACCTTAACACAAGCTACAAATCTAATCCAAAAGTCCATATTAATGATGGGTACAGGGAGCTACTGCCGCTGAATGAGGACCTGTCCCTACGATAGCACGTGACCGGTTATTGAGACATACTCTGCTGCCCTGGAAACCTGTTCAAATATCGACACACCAAGGCGCCCCTCTATACTCAACGCGTCGTATTTCAGCACTATAAAGCAAGGCAAGCACTATAATACAAGGCAGACGTCAACCACTTACAAGATCACTGCAGGAACCACCTCCCATGTACTCCATCACGATCCACAGCTCTTGGTGGGCTAAAAAGGACTCAAAGTACCGCGTGATGTACGGGCTGTCACATTTGGCCATCACTGCGCAGAGTTTATAATAAACAACACTTGTCGGCAATAGGTCTATGAACAACGCTGGTGGAGAAAAGGAATATATTTGTCCCGATGTTTATGTTGAGATATAATGCTAGGCCACGATACAACTCTCACAACTGGATCCTGATACTACCATCACCCAACGGCATACTACGAAACGGTACGAGTTGATCTATGCAGTATAGCGTTACGCCAATCTACCTGAGAAGCTACTACATGGCTGACACAGAATCTGCACTGGTGTATAATCTTACACTCGAGAACGCTACAACAACCAGCAATGGAGTGTTCCCAGCCAGATTTTTTACCACCGTTCAGTATCATACACCTGTACTATCGGAGTGTCCTGCCAATGCGACCAGGCGTTATCGGTGTACTGTAAGATTGGATCCTTACTACAGAATGGTAATACGTCGATCAGTTGTAAATTAAGAGGTTACTCTCATCGACCCCACATCCAGATTATTATTATATCATTATAAACTATGAAAAGCACACAAGCTTACCATTGATCTCAGTTTGGATGTCTTCAATCTCTTCCGACGCCTCTTCCAGATCAATGACCTTGATAGCCACCACTTCCTGAGTGGTCAGGTTGATACTGCAAATGTATAAATATATATGTATATATATATATATATTTGTGTGTGTGTATGTGTTTGAACATGTCTGTACGTGTTTCGTGGTATATGTATATGTTTTCAGATTGTCAATACAGAGCGCGTATGTTGATATGCATACATATCCGGTCAGATTGATACTGGCACAGAAACTAGATGCACCACACTCATGCTAATATTCTATGCGCAAGCAGCAGTGCTTTATGGAGAGACAACAGTCGACGAAAAACTAGCATTAAAAGTCAAATGTACATACACATTGGGTAAGAACCTATGAAGATGTTTATGAACAAACTGCAGAATTTGCCACAGTCTTAATCGAAGTAGACGAACACCAGCCAGTACATATGCATTGTTAACAAAAGTACTAGTGTTCTCAATAAAGTACCATCCGAATGCAAATTACTACTCTTGACATCATGGGTATAAGAACAGTGTATAGCGAACAACAATGAATGCCCATTCATTAGAAACATAAGAAATAAAATGCTCACTAAAGTACAAATTAGAATGTAAAGTAGCACTCTTGACATCATGGGTATAAAAACAGGGTATAACGAACAACAACGAACGCACTTCCATCCTAACCATAAGAAGTGCTATCCTCAATAAAGTGCCATCCGAATGTGAACTGGCACTGGTGACATCGTGGTTATAGTATTAAGGTAAGGACTGCTATTCTCAATTATACATCATCAAAAGATAAACTAGTACTGGTGACATCGTGGTTATAGTATTAAGGTAAGGACTACTATTCTCAATTATACACCATCAAAAGATAAACTAGCACTGGTGACATCGTGGTTATAGTATTAAGGTAAAGACTACTATTCTCAATTATACATCGTCAAAAGATAAACCAGCACTGGTGACATCGTGGTTATAGTATTAAGGTAAGGACTACTATTCTCAATTATACATCATCAAAAGATAAACTAGCACCCTTGACATTGTGTGTATGTAGACGGGTCGGCATAAGCAGTGGCTAAATATGTGCGCAGTAACTAAAATTTTAAACGAAACGAATTACCTACCACCCTACAGGCACGGACAGGGCTTGAAGAAATGCCGGTCATCATGCACATCCTTAGGCGCAGTTAAGCTAAAATGATCAATAGCTAAAATCCGTGTATGCAATTCAAATACGCGTTCGTATTTGCGGGCATACGCATATGCGCATGCGAACAACCAGCCACACCCGCAATGGATTAAGACTTTACGCATTTGACTAAATATATAACATCTATAATGTGAGGTAGTCTACAGTGTGAGGTAATAGTGGAATGGTTCAAAGAAAATAGCCGTACCATTTGAAAACCCGACCAAAGCTCCCCTTTCCGATTTGCTCGTGATACTCATACTTGCCGATCAAATCGGGCGGAATCTCATTCACCTGCGTATTGCAATCGTAGAGGGAAGTTCAAAAGAGAATTCAATATGATAGTCGATATCAACTCCAAGAAAAATCGGGAACAGGACTGATAGCAATTAAGAAAAGATTGGTTTGAAGCCAGCAAAGCCCAATTGTTGCTATTATGAAATACAGATTGCGTTGTTAATAACATGTAGAGAATAGAAACAGTTTATATTTGAACAGTTTCGAAATAAAGTAAAAGTATCAATAAGGAAATAAGTACAGATGTGCTTCAAGCTATAAAAGGTGTGTCTACACAGATGGGTACCAATACAAATGAATTTACAGAGAAAAACGATAGAATCGGATGAATTATATTTACTTGATTCAGCATACCTATTTAGGTGCATACACATGAAAAGAAGCACACGCACACGCAAAAATATATATATATACACAAAACCACACACACACAC